ATATCAAAGGTTTCTAGAGGATTTTGAACAAATCTTCTTAGCGCCCTAGAAATCTGATTTTTCTGAAATTCTGGTATTTCAATGAAATGTTGGGATCAAAAAGGATTCTAGTGACTCCGGTTCATAGAGTAAATATTGTGGTTAAAATGAGACGTCTCCCAGCACCGAGCGATGTTTTGATAAAAAATTATGAGTTTTATTAAGAGCTTTAAAACGTGTCATACACTAGCGCCATTATATCTCAAAAGTGACTTTTGCCTATCTGATAAATACTGTAGGAAAGATTTCTCCGTCAAATTAAGAGTTACAGAGGTCGGGTTGATCTTAAATTGAAGCTAACAAAACATATGGAAACAACGTAACAGAGCCCAAGTTTCGATTTACGCCGTTATTCTTTTACTTCGTTGAAAGTTATACACCAGTTTTTGCGCTTTTTTCGAAATCCTTCGGAAAATACAACTCCTGATAATCGATATACACAACATAAACAAAATGTAAGGAATACTCACAATTGATTTTTTTATCATCAAGAAGGCATTAGGCATTCAACAGTCCCAAGCTAGGGCTTGGTGATCGGCACCAAACATGTTCGATCACCGAACGGCTCGCTACCGAACGTATTCACTGCCGATCAGCGAGCCCTAGCTTGCGATGGTTGCATGCCTAGTCCAGACTAAAGACCAATGGAATGAAACTGAAGTTTTCGAAGGAACCAACCAGTGAGAAAATAGACTAACTAAACTACAATGTGAGCGAATGTGTGTTCTACCGGATCGCTACCAAAGATTTAAACAAAATAGTTTGTTAAAGCTAAGAACATGAGAGCGAAGAAACACACGAAAGAAATCTTTGTAAAACAGAAAAAATGGTGAAAATTACACGAAACGAAGGAGCAACCATGATTACGCCGTAGCCGTAGGTAGTCATGTAAAGAAAAGTTTGAATTAGAGCAGCAACTTGGTTATTGTTGTTATTGTATTTGCTTTATTCCAGGAAGTCGAAAGTATCTTTAATTTTCATTATATCTGATTTACTCTCTAATTAAACATACTTTACTAATATGAGCTCTGTAGCAGACTGATTTACTTTGTTTTCATGAAAAAATGCTTTTCCTCACTGTGCAAATAAAGCCCTAATTCGAATGTATCTTTAAAAGGTTTGCAGTACTTGGTCATAATAGTTTCTCAGCAGAGCGCTCGCCAATATCTCTGATGAGAAAAATATAAACTATCGTATTTGCAATCTTCGTCTAAACACGTTCGGTCGCATCAAGTTTCCAGGCCGAACACGTTCGGTAGCAAACCGTTTGGTGACCGAACATGTTTGGTAACAAGCCGTTTGATGACAGTTGATGCATGCCTAGTTATGCTGCAACTGCAAATGTTTAATCCATCAGATCAGAAGCGTAGTTTTTTGTAATAACTAATACAAACCAATCTGGAGAGGTAAAATAGTTTATATTTAAATTTGAGATGTTTCATACCTAAAACTCGGGTTACAGGCCTTTCATTTCGATTCTAAGCTTGTGATGTAAAACATTTTTCTTCTAAAGGAACTTTTAAGTTTAGAATCAAATAAATTAGGCTTAAATTGTGTCATGGAGATTTCGCAAAAATAAGTTGAGATTGTAAAGGGAAATACTAAGCTGAAGTTCGACTCATAACAACTAGTTATACGAAACGATGCTGTCATGATGGCGCGACTCTCGTCGAAGCACACAAGCGTCGCTTGTGACAGGTATTGTTTATCTCAAACCCAAAGAAGTAGGATTCATGGGACTTCGGAAAAAACCTGAATTCCGGCCAAACCACTGATTTTCAAGATCTCGCTTAGATTTCGTTTTGAAGAAAACACTTTTTTCTATCCACTCATGGGGAAATATCAGTAGTTCTCTATTATAATTTTTAACTTATGTAGCCGTTTTCCAAAGGCCCGTTCCATAACTCGTTTTTGAAAAGCTATCCGAAAAACTTTCCGCTTGCAAAAAGATGCTGCATGAAGGGTGTTCCACAAGTTCTGAAACGATTTCTAGAACGATAAATTTACGAATCGTTTCGGAAAAAATTAATTTCTTACTATACCATATGATAGACAATTCAATTCTCTACAAGATTGTATATTCACTTTAAAGATTCATCTTTGGTGTTTGGCACAGTTGTAAAGTGGAAACTGTAATGAGTACAAATTTTGAATACAAAATTTGAAATAATTTTATTACAGTCGGTGAAGAATTCCGAGCTTTACAAAAGCGTTTACTTGTAGAAAATTTATTTCAACTGTTAGTGGGGCTTTAATACATAAACTGCCAAGTCCATCAAAGTTTCTAGCACTAAAAAAAAAGTTTTAACTGTTCCAGTATAAAATCCAAAGTTCAAATCATTAGTTTATAGACCAAAAACTGCAGAATTTCGCGCTCTATTAGACTGTGTTACAAATAAATCTACTACTCTTTTTAACTGAAAAACTAGGGAATACTGGGTGTCGCTAAGTTGGTCGAAAAGTAGGAGAAAATACAATTTCTCCTATTTTTCGGCTAATTCAGCGGAAAAAATTTCTAAAAAAAATTCCAGCGCGCACCGGTGCGCATGGCATGCCACCGATTACTGGCACTTGCTGGTACCGGTGCGCACCCGCGCCCAGCAAGCGCCGAACCAATGCCGATATATTTCTGCCCAGAAAGTGCCGCACTGGCATTTATTTAATCAGTTTAATTAGTTTTTTATTATGGTTGTTTATACTGAATTTGTATTAGAGTATGGCACTGATCAGTACCACATTAACATGACAAAACCATGCGGCATTGTCTCGGCACTTCTCTTATGAAAAGGAAAAGATGAAGTCAAAACGACATTCGAAATATTAGAAGTAGACTGTGGTGTTAATATAGACAGAAACTGACAAAACAAAATGGTGATTGAAAGCAAAACTTCAGCACTGGTGCGCATCATTGCGAGATTAATTACATGCTTTCTGGCACCGATGCACATCAGTGCCCAGAAAAAATTATTCGACACCGGTGTGCATCCGTGCACAACCAGTGCCGATAAAATATTTTTTTGGTACAGTGACCTTTCTTAAAGACTCTTTTTCGCTCTGATTTCATCAAATCATTTCAAAAAAAATCGTTGTTTGTCATTAAAAAAAGACATCATATTGTTGAAAATTTCTTGCTGAGTTTTTCGGTATACCTCGTTTTGTTGAATAACTGATTTTTAGCGAGATTTTGCGCAAAAAATCGATTTTTGCAGGTGTAGTTAAGAAGCGTTTCCTGTTAGACTTACTGTGCCAAACATCAAAGATGAATCTTAAAAGTGAATTATACAATCTTGTACAGAATTAAATTGTCTATCATATGGTATAGTAAGGAATTTCTTTTCCGAAACGATTTGTAAATTTATCGTCATAGAAACCGTTTCAGAACTTGTAGAACATCCTTTAAACTCCTCTTTCGATTGGCGAAAGCTGCGTCTCTCTGGCTCTTTGTGTTTTCGAGTTATTTAAAAAACACCCATATATCATTCTTAACATTTTTACAATTTAGGGGCAATAAATTCAGAATTGTACATATTAATACCGCAGCTAATTTAAATCGTATTTTATTAATCTATACTATATCTAATTTTTACGTTAATATCACTGTTACCACATGTTTCTTCTTGACAATGACAAATATTTTGTCGAAACATCGAAATAAATAAAAAAGTTTTTGATTAATAAAATGCGATTTAAATTACCTGTTGTACTAATATCTACAATTCTAAATATATCATACTTTTCTTTTTCAATGGACAGTAGTCTTAACAAATTACTACAAAGTGTTGAAAGAGCTTCAGAGAAAACAGGTACAATTGTGTACAGCATTTTGCACACTCTAAACGAAGTTGATGTCAACAAATTGAAAGAATTTGCCACTAAGGATTCTAGTTGTGAGCCCATAGATGTTGTTAAACAGGCTTCGTGCCGACGTGAGGCATGATTTAACATCGCCAATCCTGAATGATTTTTAAGCTTTGAAAGTCTTTTTAACGTCGACACGAAGTGGTTTAGTTGGATTTTCAGGGATATGAGTTTTCTATTTTTGTACGATTATAGTTCAAAGTAGGATATTTTTCTCAAAACTTCTAGTCTTCTTACTCTTTTTAAAAACAAACATAGTCACAAGATTCAAATAGGTCAATGATTTACGCTTTTATCAAGATGGAATTCTAAAATGTGTTTGAAACGTCTAATCATATTGCTCATCTACTATTCTTTTCGGAAGTCTGAAAGGATTTATGTGAGAAATGCAACAGATGTAATATATTTAAAATCATTGTAACTTGTCAAAGAACAAAACAGTTGAAAAAGAAGCAAATGAAAAAACAATTGCGATTATATATGTATAACGCTTTGTTATAGATGACATCGAAAAGGAAACGATAGCAGATTAAGTTCAAAGTTCTCACTATTTAGCAGTGTTTAGTTACAATGTTATAATGTACACAATAATAATTTATACGGTTAATAAGGAAGAACGACGAAAATAAACTGTCGGGAAAGAGTCTATATAGAAAAAATCTTACTCGAAGAATAACAACTTTTTTTTCTTCCCGTTGTTGTCTTGACTTAAAAACTGGCTGGTATAACAAAATATCTGATAGAACAACTAAAAAGATTATGTACAAGCGAACCATAGTTAGACAAACAATATTTAGAGAGTGCACTGGTCTTATATGACTTGTACGAAGTAGACATGGTTTAAATGTTATTGAGAAAAAAACCCAACAATAAATAAACAAAAACTCGTTTCTTACATGAAGAGCTACATCTTGCTTTATGTGAATAAGAACAATGAAAAAATTTAACATACACGAAATCTTATAGATATTTGATATAAAGACAAAGAAATGTGTGAAAATACAAAGTATACTTTTTTATTTGTATTCGTACAATCTTTCGAAAAAACAACATAAACTTGAGTTTAAAAATGGTGTAAATGTTTATATATTTAATGTCAATCATTATTTCTGATTGATATTAACAATTTTATATTGTACTCCGTTAATCATTAATATAGCTCCGTCAAAATCTGGCGCAGTTATAGACGGAGATGGGTGATCTGCTTGTTGAATTATAGGTTGATCAATATTTATTGAAAGTAAAGGTTGTTGATCTTCAACTTTTCCAGGTTTTATTTCAAAGGTATCATGCATTACGTTATTAGTGGTTGGCGTAGATTCTAAAGTCGACTTCGTTGAGTTTAAAACTTGTGGATGGCTAAAATAAAGAATAGAAAAACCACTATTATTCATTTTGTTTTTAGAACTGCTCAAAAATTTCATTTGCTACGGTTTTACTGGACATTCAATTGATCCGAGTTTTTTATGAAATTTATTAATAAATTTCGAGAATCTATCAAAGCAAAAGATAAATGTTATTACAGTGTGTTTTCGGAACATGATGTTCCTGTTTGTGTTTGTTCATTGAGTAATTCATTGATCGCAATTCCTGTATGTTCCTTAAATAATGCTTGTAACTGTTCATATTCTTGCTTCAGTGATTGAACTTTTCTCATTAATTCTTCATTTTCACCTTGCAATGCGTCAATATGTTGAACAGTTTCATCGTGTTCTTTACGTGATTTTTCACGAGATTTTTTTACTGACACATTATTACGTGTACGCAATTGACCATATCGTGGATCGGTACGAGGTACAGTACGACGCTGCATACTCGTTTTCATTCAGTATTAAAGAATAATTTATGCTCTAGAATCAAGCAAAAGAAAACAAAAATATTTCTATTATTGAATTAATGGATAGATATCGATCAGTAATTCAGAAAAACAAGTTAATAGTAAAAAATAGTGAATATAAACACAATGAACCGCTAAAATCGCTAACTATTTTTCCATATACTTGAAACGTAAATCAGCTATACGACAGAAAATAGCAAAATAATTTAGTTTTCGTTCCAGAGGTGTAGAATCCTCTCATATGAATGAAAATCCTCCCCGGATGAGAAAATTTTGAAAAATTCGCCAGTAGTGTCAGAATATTTTCTACTGCAGTTATCTTTAAGTAAAATTGCTATTTTTTTTAAAGTTTTTTCTACAAAATTTTTTCTCGACGGTCATCGGAACAAAACGGGTATATTTCTTTCTTTCACCTAAACGCTGCGTGTGATTATCACTTTGTAAGAATAGTGTTGCGGATAAATTCTTGTGTACTAGTGTTGAATAGATTATTTTATGTTAATTAGCTTGCCACCTACATCGATTTTTGCCCTTAAAAACGGCCGCCGTCCGTTGAATTTCCAAAAATACGAAAAGATAATCCTGAATCATCAATATAGAGTTATCAATTCGTTCCAAAGTACGAGGAGTTGAGACTTGAACTAGCGGTGGGAAGGAACTGTCGGAAGTGTAATTATTTAATATCATGCAATCAGCTAATTTATGAACAGATGTTAGTAGTTCTAGATGTGTTTTATAATATCATACAACAGTAATAAATAATATCAGAGGCGGAGCAGATATAAATGTTCGATTCATAGCGCCTTGCATTTGCCTACATCTTTGCGCAATATTTTCAAGATGAAATTTAATTTCCATGTGACATCTGACGAAATATAAGCTCCTAATAACTTGTATATCTCTATTCCTCACTTTATTATTTTTTCTTTCCTTTAGAAACGAAACAGCGCTTGAAATAAGCACGTTTTTTCGGTCCTCATACTAATCGGTAAGCATCTGTTGTCATTGATTATTTAGACCCCACTAGACACTTAAAAAGAATTCAAGAAAACTAGTTATTGGAAAATTCTCGCATCTTTCAGCGCCTCCACTCTAGCAGGAACTCTGCCTCTAATTAGATCTTAACCAAACGTTGGTGATCATCGGTTGGCTACTTATGCTAGCTTCTTTCATCAGTACAATAGTAAAGGTTCAGCATCTTTTATTGAAGCTTCTTATGCGTTACTTAAAACTTTTGTATTATGAAAATTGATGATGGACTGAGTGATCTATAGAACTCGTAAATCAACCCATTTTGTCTAACCATTAGACAAATAGAAAACAAGGCCAATAAGATCAGTCATGGTGGTGAAAGTAGTACAGATGAGAAGAAAAAAACAAAGTGGAAATTTCAGAAAGCACAGTGATTCGCAAAGTAGTTTTTTCATTTGCAAAATGTTAAACAGAGTGGAATTCATTTTTACAAAGTGGAAGACCACTTTACTCTCACAGAGAGAAACCAATCATTATAAACGCTGTTCACACTTGAAACATGTAGAGAAATCATGCTTCGCATTCTACCACACCTAAAGTATGAAATTCTACGGATGACGTGCAGCATTATCATGCTTCATGTACGGTCAAAATTCTCGAGTGTGGTTGTCCTCCACTTCATCCGTAGAATTTTACAATTTCGTGTTTTTTCAGAACAGTGAAGGTACATATATCTCTATAGAGCTCAGAACAGTCCTGAAATCGTACGGTGATGTGACATTGTTACACATTTACCTTAACATTTCAGGATAGTGAAATATGGGGTTGTTTTCCGTTAGCTGTCAGGAGTTACTTTCGACGTGAAAAGACGTAGAAAGTGACTTCTGACGGCTATCTTTGACGACTAGCGGGAAACAACTTGAATATGGGACTTCACTTTCATTTTCTCATGCAATTATGATATTTGATTCGTTCAGCGTCATAGTGTCATTTTTTCCTTGATTTATCCATTTACATCAATCGTAATGTGTTTCGAAGCCTCTAAAATGTCGTCAATCCAAGTGTTGCAAACAACGGCGAATTTTTTCTTATAGATTTATTGAATAATTACAAATGTAATAGTCGGTGGACAGTCGTCTGCTGACTTATTGAATCATTTACAGACTGCGTATCCAGCTATGCAGTATGAGCCACTTTCTTATGTTACGCTTTTGGCGTTCGCAGCCAGTATAGCTAAGAAATGCGGTTAACTTTTTTGATTCCATGGAAAAAGCATACAATATAATATAAAGCTAAAACGTTTTTGGACACGTATTTTGCGTATACACAGACATGATCCCTGGCTTATCCAAAAAAAACAGACAACCATTTGGTTGTAAGACCCTAGATAGACTATAAGCAAGGGGGAAAAAAGCCGCAGGGCTGTCTGTCTACCATTACTGTTACTAGTAACAACAGATACTAGTTTGTTACTGTGATAAAAGTAAAGAAGAACACATTTTTTAGAAAACAGGTGTTTTTGAAATTTTAGAAAAACTTTTGAATTGCATTAGATGTCTTTTAAGTTATGACTCTTCCCTTAACGTGATGTATAGCTAACAAATATTTCCAGATACTTCTTTATCAGTAAGGGTGATTCATTACTTATTACTCGATGTTACTTTACCAAATAAACACAAGTAACAAACTAGCATCTGATGTTACTAATGATTAGTAACAAGTAACAAATTTTTATTACTTTACTTGGTAAAGTAACACCGAGTAATAAGTCACAAGTCACCCGTAGTCGACCCTTCCACTCTCGGACCACTTCTGAATATGTGAGTACCTCTTCGCAGATCTCTCAGGCGGTTTTAGTATCCTCTGTTACTGGATTTTTTCTGCAGCGAAGCTTTGACTAATTATTCACCAGAAAGAGCATACAAAATAGCACATATATACTATAATTAACAGTTTTCTCATAGTTTTTTGTAAAGGAATATCCTCCAAGATCTTATCCAAAATGGATCAAATGGAAACTCCTTTTTCAGACTTTTCAGATTTTCTTATTTTAAACACTATTCGACATGCTCTTCGAAACTTATGTTTCAGAGACGCTCGAGGACATTTCCCAGGCTGGTTGTTCTGAAATTCATTTATACTATTTGCATGTCGATTGGATATCACTATGAGGATTAATTAAGCATTCAGACACGTTGTTTCGGAAGGTACGCACAATCTACTTAGACTATGAGCGTCGTAGCAAATATACGACAAGATATAAAAAGTAGTTTAACTATATGTTAACAGTATATTATATTATTATACCAACAACGTTGAATATAAAACATGAAGAGATACATCTGTTGGTTTCAGTACAAGCATGTCATCATCGGTGTTTCAATTTTGTTGTCCTACCAACGACATAAAATCAAAATACACGGTTAATAGTTGCAATTGATCATAGAACAAAATAGCTCGTCGTACACCTTTACTTGAGTCATGTCTAATATCATGAGATGTACGAAAACTACTCCCGTGTTGCTGCCTTGGTCTCGCCCGCCTCTAGGATCGTTCATCGCATTCGTTTAACTTTTGCCCGCTAGCTGCCATTCTAAAAAAATGAGCATTCCAAAATTCCAAAGTCCAATCCTGCCCTAGCTAGAGCCCTGCAGGTTACGACTTTTTGACAACCTATAACCTCCCATGTTGTCGAAAACTGGCGGTTAACCACGATTATTTTAAGAACCGATGGTTAACCGCGGTTATTTCAACTGAAACCATAGCAGTACATCAGAAAAACCGACGATTAACCTCACAATTAACCGGAAAAACGGTCGGTTGGGTTAACCGTCGGTTTTTCTGATGTATTGCTATGGTTTCAGCTTAAATAACCGCGGTTAACCATCGGTTCGTAAAATAATCGTGGTTAACCGCCGGTTTTCGTCCGGTTTCGACAACATGGGTAACCTGTAAAAATTTTCACAACCTAAACGAAACTCGTAACCTGAACCTAACCTAACCTATTAATGATTGACATAACCTAACCTAGGTTAACCTAATATAACATGTGCAATTTTTTATGTAGCTTTCTTAGTGTTAAAATGTTTTTTTTGCACACTTGTATTGCGCACGCATGTGCCGCACATGCTCGCACACATGTTCATTAGATCCGCCATGACCGTTAACCTGTAGCAAAATATCAACAAATTATTTAACACCAATAGCTTGGAGTTAACAGGGTCCGATTTTTAAATTATGATTCGATTTTTATAGAAACGAGGATTTCTAAGAAACCTTTCAAGGATTTTTCGGACTTTAAAGTTCTGTTAAGCACCAGAAATCATTAAATAAAAAATTCAAAAAATCGGGCTCTGTAAACCCCTAGGCATAGGTGTTTACTACAAAACCAAAACAGCCCGAGCTCTCCATCATTTACCTAGAATGAGCATTCTTGTGCTTGGTAGACGCCTACTTTTGGCCTTTGTTGTAGCATCAACAGTTGCAACGGACGCCAAAAAAAAGAATTTCATTACCATACTTTGACATGATCCACATTCGCTGAAAGTTTGGTTCAGATCAGACCTATCTGGGCTGTGATAAGTTTCTGACCCGAAGGGAGAAGGGGGAGAGCTTAAGAGTAGAGCAGAATTTCACTTTAGGCTCTTGATACTACGAAGGTTCTGTTATTGTTGTGTATTCTTCATCTATTTTTAGCAAATATAAGTTTTTTCTCTGTGCTTCCTTTTTTGATTGTGCCATTTTTCAATTTAAAAATAGTTCAGTTTACACTAGAGAATCTCATTCTGAACTTTATCGCTCAATCGATAAAGTTCCACTTGGGCTACACTTTATTACTCAAAGTATTAGCTGTTTTAATGTGGTCGTTCAAAATCTCTTTTTTCGTTTAGGTCGGAAATAGGTTATCAATGTCGTAACCTACAACCAAACCTAACGTATAGGTTTGGTTAGGTTAGATTAGCTTTATCCTGTGGGGTTCTAGTCCTAGAGTTAGAATACCAGTTTTTTCCAAATTTTTATGTGATATATTCAAAAGAATGTATTAATTGCAAGAAAATGGAATTGGTTAATACCACGGTTAATGCTGTTGTACAAATTTTACCATTTTTCATTCGGTGTATATCAGTTTCTAATCGCCGAAGTTTGAGACTACATTGTAAAAAACGAACATATTATTAATTTTACAATAGTTGGTATACAAGTACTCTAATTGATCATTACACTTTGTTAAAAAACGTGAAAGACTAATGTAATTTGAATTACATGTCTAAATATAGACGTGTTAATTTAGATAATGAAACTTTTTTTTTATATATCTACTAGAGTCTAATGAGAGGGAGGAATGGCATATGAACGCACTCAAAATGCGTTTCCATTTACAGCACTCATTCTTGAAAATATTTTGAAACTTTTGAACCGTGTCTGCCATCACTGTTTGATATTAATTCTTAGTGACTGATAATCTTTTATTTTACTTTCAAAAATAATCTAGCTTACAAGATTTTCGAACAGCTTCATCATTAACACATATCACTAAATCGAGAAATTTTAAAAGTTTGTTCAGTCAAAACCGATTACAGATTCGTCTTCTCCATAGTCGATTACCTTGTACGCGGTAACTTTCAGATCGGAATACTTTAGAAGAATTTTCGACTTCGTTTTGCCTCTGATTCCATACAGTGACTTTTTGAAAACTTTTTGAGCAAGACCAAAGTTTTGTAAAGAAATATTCGTTCGTTTTTTAACAACTGATTGATGTTAATTTGTGACTTCAGTTTCTTTTCAAAACAACTATGAGAACAAGAATTCATAGAAATCAATACGATATAAAACGTTGTCTGAAACAAAATGGAATGAATCTCTGGTATTGTAATACTGACTTTATAAATCTTGCATATAACCGGTACCATTTTATTTTCAAAAATATACACTTTTTTTCTACAATACAATCACATGGGAACGCATTCAGTTTTTAGTCAAACTACTAGAGGTCATCATCCAACATTTAGACTTGCTTTGACATTGCATGCCACATTGAAAATGATTGTCTTGCTAATAGTTGATTCCAATGTATAGCGCCTGTACCACTGCAGTATAATGGTGAACCTACTTTAATTTGAGCAATTAATTGCTCATTTCGATAAAAATTGATAACTACCATTAATCGATCAATATTTAAGCCATATAATGAAAAATCATAAAGCTCACTGATACTCATTGTTGATTGATTCATATGATAGGGTTTTGTGCGACGGGTAGATATCAACTTGTAACGATCGAGTAAAAGTGTTTGAATGTAGAAAGTTTTCTCTAAACATAATAAAATACATACAGATGTTAGTCCAATATGAATTAAATATAAGAATTTTTTAATATTTACCCGGATGTTTCTGATCGACTTTGATGCCTTTAATACGTTCAAGTTCTACTGAAAGATAACGATCTTTCTTTTTCATTGATACAAGTACTTCTATTGATGACTAAAAACAGAATATCAAATTATACGGGACAGTAGGTCTGATGTGACCGTAACATTAGATCCGAAATAAAAACCTGTTAAACTGTAATAATAAAACAAGAGTCGGTACTCCACAACGGTAAAGTCATCTTATATAGCTCATTAACCATAATATCTTATGACTTGAAATTTTCTCTGATTATAGTTATTAGAGAATGCTGAGTATCCAATAATATTCTTCACGTATATTCCATTACCATCGAGACGTTTTAAGTAATTATCTTGATAGTACTAAAGTCTTGAACTATGTTCAAATAATCCCCAAACATTAAACTAAATATGTCTGTCTATATCGTCAAACTATGGGCATTTTTGACTTAAAACAAGGGCTCAACAGTTTAACTTTATGCTGTAAAATAGAAGAGAGTCAGAATTCGACGATGGTATTTGGATAAAGTGATAAATTCTTCTAGTCATAAAAAGAATTGCATTTTACCGTTTAAAAAGATCTACAAGGATACAGTTGGAAGATCTAAAGCTTATAAGTTTTTGATGTTCAGATTAATCCATTAATTTTTTTTCTCCAATTTTCATTTGTCGATCACAAGGGGATATTGTACAGTAAGGCACTCCGTGATTGTTTCCTCATCTTGATCAGCTTAGATAGTAAGTAGCATTCCCTGTTGCTATAATCACACAAAATTGCAAGTGATAGGATATCATCATTCAACAGTCGTCTCAGGAATAATCCTACTTTTATGAATTACTGTAAGTGCATACAGCATTTAGACATCTTACTTGAGCGTAGTATATGTTGACCTATTACATAGGTCAACATTCAGTATCTTTCAGAATCTCTGTTTTTACATAGATCCGATACTCTCTACAGATTATCATAACATCTCTAACTAGAAACTAGCTGAAAACCGTACCGTTTTTTTCTTTTCAATTTCATGTTGCAAATAGTATTCTTTATCTTGTACTAAATGTAATTCATTTAACATAACTTCAATTTGACCATAATTTGTCTTTTTTCGCTTATCACTAGTTATTGTTATTATCAATGATTTTTCGCCTAGTTTCTCTTTTAAGACATTTGTAAATATAACACATTCATCAATTAATTTTGTTTCAACATCTAAATTTTTTTTTATACAATATTTTTCTTTACCATCTGGCATTAATTTTATTTTTATTGTTAATTGTTGATTAACTTCATCACCGATTGAACCATGGAATTTATCAAATGTAATTTGCAAATTTTGTTGACTGGTATAAATAATTTTTAATGATAAACGATTCATTGTTTGATAATCATTATTTACCTGTAAAATTTGAATTTGTTCCGGTTCAATACAGAAACAATTGCGTACACTATCCACTGTTGCCACACTTCGACGACGTTTTGGAACAGAAAATTCTAATGTTTCAGGATTGATGGATATCGAACCATATCGCCAATTGTATGGTGTATGTGGATCAGTGACCGTTCGATTTCGACATCGGCCTTGGATACTCGACGAACGTATCGGATCATCTCCTTGTCTTGTTGTTGTTAGCGCTAACGACTGGCATTCACGAAATGACGGTGTTGTTGATTCTACTTCAATTTCTGATTGCTCTTTCAATGTTGGTTTTGCTGATGATCTACGACGATTCGATATTGTTGATTTTATTGTTGTTCCATTTTTTTCATTATAAACTATACCAAGATCATTACTTAAACGTTTGGCAACAATTTCAATTGTAGGTTTAATAGAATAGTGTAATTTTTGTGTTTCTGATGATAATTTACGGCCAGACAATGATGAACGTTTACGCCAATAGACATAGAATACGACGGTCGATGTTATACAACCTAATGCAATAAGATAATAGACAACTATTGGTACCATTGTTTTAGTTTTAAAACTATCTATGAACAAAGCCGATTGTATTTAGGAAAGACTGCATCTAAAGCAAATATTTATAATATCTAAAATTACTTGTATTAAACATACGACACACACAAAAAAAAATGACTTACAAAACATTTTCTGATTTAATTTTTTAAGGCGAAACCATATACTTTTTTCCTTGTGTTATGTTTCTCAAAGATTCATCGATCTCATGTTTCTTAACTATTATACAACGTCATTTTTATGATTAAAAATCAATTTCCTTTACTGTTTCTCAATTTACTTTACTGTTCAATAGATAACAATGCTTACAGACAAAAATCAATCTATTGTCTCATAAAACAAGGTATAATGAGTTACTGAACATACAAAAACAGATGAATGATTTTTTAGAATGATTACTATGTCTAATTACCATTCTATTACAAAATCTTTGTTATAGGCTATACTTTCATGGGAACAGCAAATTACCAGTAAAATATCGTATTTCTCTGTCAAAATTTTTGCTATTCATACATAGATTGAACGTCCTACATACGTTTTTTCTCTGTCATTTTCACATCGCTCAACTCCCTCATACACACAATAAAGAATAATTTTTTCTTGTTGCGTGCACAATTTTATTTTCTTCATCATCGGTTGAAGTTTGAAAACATAGAGAAGAAGAAAAAAGGAAGACTTCTTGTTCATTAAAAATATTTAAGCGTGACACTAATCATGTGTGCAAAAACAGTATATAATTTCTCAAGTACGCCTTTAAATGATCCATTCTTCTGAGCTTTAATATGTTTTTACTTAATTAACCTTTCAACATACGGTAGTACTTCCGTATTCACATTCAACCACTTTTATAAAAATGTAATCCTATTATTTTTATCATTAGAAAATGATGTGTGTTGGAGGGGATTACCGTCAAGTAGCGGCTTCCTTTTGAAAGACTTAAATGGTCTAAATTATTTGAAATGAAGAAACATGAACAGTTATGTATCTGTTCACCATTTATCATGTTCAGCTATAGTATTTTGGAATGCTCATATTTGTATTACATTTAAAGGTTTTTTTTCTTCCAGCACATGCATAAAGCAAACGTTTCTCTACAAAATGAGGTATTTCGCAAGTCGAGCGGTTCTTAATAACTGCGTTACAACAATTTTTCTAGATGCTTTTATATCAGTTATATAACTGACACATGCCTAGTTTGAATTTAACTCAAATCTGATTTTTCAAGAAGAATGATGAAAAAATCATAAAAGTTAAGGAAAGCTAGTTCGTCCGAGAAAGATAGTTACCGAACACTCGTTTGTTCTGTCGAAAGAATAACTTTCATTGTTGAGAACGTTTTCGACAGATACAAGAAATTTCTTCAAAAGTTCCAGTTAATTTAGTAAAGTTCCGAAAGCATTCTTAAAGCAAAATTTTACCGACATGCGTAAAAACAGAACATGCGCGGTTGCTTCAATCGTTCCGCTGAACGATTTTAAAGATAATGAGTAGAAATATTTTCTTTCCGCAGTTATCATTTTAACACTACCGATATCGCTATCTGTCCATAGTGATATTGTCAAAAGAAAGAATAGAATATCCTGTTGTTGTCGATGTAAATCACTAATAAGTCAGATTTGACAATTTCGAATAGCCCGATATCGTCCATGCACCGGATAATCTTCAAAAACCCTATACTATAGCTTTGAACAGAAGACTATTGTCCGATGCTGAGTTCTTTCACTGATTTCTTGAGCTTCTCATAACACACTCACTAACCACGTAAAGGGGATGACACTATAAAAGATCCGGATCTACTATCCAGTCCCTAGTCAACTCTCCCAAAAAAGTTCCCAGAAGCTCTATAACGGGATTATCCAGGGATTTTTAGGGAGACTCCCGAAGAATCTTATGACAAATTGCGAGGATGGTGCTCACAGCTCGCTTTTTCCTTTCATTCGACTCCATGCATTTCTTGTCACATGTATTGTGTTTTTTATAGCGAAAGAGAAAAAATACATTTTGTCATCTTATCACATGCGTAGAATGACCCTTTCTCCTTCTCCATTGAGAATACACAGAGTGCTAGAGACACCGTTTGAAATTTTCATAAATAGAGAGGTAAATAGAGACACTCCATTCAAACACATGGAGTTTTAATACACACTTCGTTAATTAAGCCTAAAAGATATAATTAGTTCAAAAATACCTCATTTAATAATAGAAATCAAGAATAAAATCACCTTATTTTATAGTTCGGATCGTCCTCTCTCCATCATATAGTTTTGAGCTCATTATCATTAAGCTGA